GATGAGGGAGCCCAGAAACGGAGAGGTCCTGGATGTCGACTGCGTTGCTCACATGAACTTGGGGTCTTCAGGATGATGGCAGGACTTGGAATGAAATCCTAACATTTCAGTGAAGAAGAGGATGACTAGAAGGTGATGAATAGTGCTGAAGAGGCGCTGGAGATAAAGGAAACAGTTTCAGCAGAGGAGACATATGTGCTCAAGGTGGTCTTTGGGCAAGTAACCTGGAAGAATTATGAGGGCATGAGGAGGATGCTCACCTCCGGAACCCAAGGGGCCCGAGGCTGGGGTGTGCTGAATATCCTCTGTTTGCCCCTCCAGCTCACTCTCACATGCTGTTCCAGGCTGCTGGAGGCTGATCTTTTTTTTTTTTTTTTTTTTTAAGATGCTCTCTCCTCCAGGCTGGAGCGCAGTGGTGCGATCTCTGCTCACTGCAACCTCTATCTCCCAGGTTCAAGTGATTCTCCTGCCTCAGCCTCCGCAGTAGCTGGGGTTATGGGTGCCCGCTACCACGCCTGGCTAATTTTTGTATTTTTTTTTTCTTTTTTTAAGACAGAGTTTCACTGTGTCGCCAGGCTGGAGTTCAGTGGCATGATCTCGGCTCACTGCAACCTCTGCCTCTCAGGTTCAAGCGCTTCTCCTGCCTCAGCCTTCTGAGTATCTGGGATTACAGGCACAAGCAACCACGCCTAGCTAATTTTTGTATTTTTAGTAGAGACAGGGTTTCACCATGTTGGCCAGGATGGTCTCGATCTCTTGACCTCGTGATCCGCCCACCTCGGCCTCCCAAAACGTTGGGATTACAGGTGTGAGCCACTGCACCCGGCCTAATTTTTGTATTTTTAGTAGAGACAGGGTTTCACCATATTGGTCAGGCTGGTCTTGAACTCCGGACCTCAGGTGATCCACTCACCTCGGCCTCCCAAAGTGCTAGGATTACAGTTATGAGCCACTGCTCCTGGCCGCATTATTATATTTAATGTTAATATCAATCAAATGAGTTAGCATTATTATCTCCACTTTGCAGATGAGGGAACTGAGGCTTACTGATATTTTGACACTTTCTAACTAATTCACTGGTGAGCTCCTGATTTTCATTCCTATCAATTCAGGCTGGCCCGGTGGCTCACACCTGTGATCCCAGCACTTTGGGAGGCCAAGGTGGCAGATCACCTGAGGTCAGGAGTTCAAAACCAGCCTGGCCAACGTGGTAAAACCCTGTCTCTACTAAAAATACAAAAATTAACCAGGGGTGGTGAGCACCTATAATCCCAGCTACCTAGGAGGCTGAGGCAGGAGAATTGCTTGAACCCGGGAGGTGGGGGTTGCAGTGAGCCAAGATCACTGAACTCCAGCCTGGGCAACAGAGTGAGACTCCATCTCAAAAATTAATTAATTTGGCCAGGCACAGTGGCTCACGTCTGTAATCCCAGCACTTTGGGAGGCCGAGGCAGGTGGATCACAAGGTCAGCAGATCGAGACCGTCCTGGCTAACACAGTGAAACCCCGTCTCTACTAAAAATACAAAAAGAAATTAGACAGGCGTGGTGGCACGCGCACCTGTAGTCCCAGCTACTGGGGAGGCTGAGGCAGGAAAATGGCGTGAACCCGGGAGGTGGAGCTTGCAGTGAGCTGAGATCGTGCCACTGCACTCCAGCCTGGGCGACAGAACAAGACTCTGTCTCAAAAAAAAAAAAAAGATTAATTAATTCAGATAATTATATCTACCTTGTCACTTTGGTATTTAAATGACTTCATCTATGTTAGGTGCCCAGTGCACTTCCTGGCACACGGTTGGCAATCCACACATGGCAGCTATGGTCATATCATCATGAGGATATGGAAGCTGAAAGGGAAGCCTATCCACAGAGGGAGGGCTCCCTGCAGCGTCATCATTTTAGAGCTAAGAACAAAGGTGCCAGTGCTTTTGGATGCTGTCTAGGGGAAGGAGAGCCCTGCCAACATAAACAGATCATTCATCACCCTCCAGGCCCTGTGCTGGCCATTGTCACTCCCAACAATCCTAAAGGAAGCCTCCATTTGTCATATGAGGAAACTGAAGCACACAAGGACTGGGTTATTGAGAGCACAACTGGGATTTCAACCAAGGCCAAAGCCCAAGTGAGGGAAAGCTTCCTGGAGGAGTTGGCCTTTGAATGGAATAGCATGCAGAGGGCTGGACAGGATCAAAGATGGGAGGCTGGATGGTGGAGGGGGTGGGTGTTAGAAGGGGCTGCAAGCTCCAGACAGGGGCTCTAACAGAGAGAGGGTTAGGAAAGTGAGGCAGGAAGCAGGTGAACTAGAGCCCGACTTTGTTTTCTCCACCTCAGAGCCTGCCTGGATCACAGACAGCTGCCAGCTCAGGGTGGGACCTCCCAGGCCTGAGAACCCCAAGCTGTCTCCTGTTGTCTGGGACCCCACTTGCCTGGTGCTTCCCAGTCTGGACTCCCGAGGTCCTGGATATGGCACCACACGGAAAATAGGGTATCTATGAGAAAGCTCCAGGATGTCACAAAGCCTAGAGGAACATCTGAAGAAAGGCCAGAGGCTAATTCATACATCATGGTTTCTGTTTTTTGTTTTGTTTTGTTTTTTTGAGACAAGGTCTCACTCTGTCAGCCAGGCTGGAGTGCAGTGGCGCGATCTCTGCTCACTGCAACCTCCGCCTCCTGGGTTCAAGTGATTCTCCTGCCTCAGGCACCCAAGTAGCTGGGACTATGGTGTGCACCACCACACCTGGCTAATTTTTGTATTTTTAGTAGAGATGGGGTTTAACCATGTTGCCCAGGCTGGTCTTGAACTCCTGGCCTCAAGTGATCCACTCACCTCAGCCTCCCAAAGTGCTGGGATTACAAGTGCAAGCCATTGAGCCTGGCCAATACGTCATGTTTTCTTATTTCTGGCTAGACTCCTTTCAGCGTGGTGTAGTAGTAATGATTGATCTCCTACTAATTAGAAACACTGGTTCATTCATATGTACATCCTTTAAATAACACGAAAGAGAGCGGTAAGGCAATTCCTTTTTTTTTTTTTTTTTTTTTTTTTGAGATGGAGTCTCACTCTGTCTCCCAGGCTGGAGTGCAGTGGCACAATCTCTGCTCATTACAACCTCCGCCTTCCAGGTTCAAGCAATCCTCCTGCCTCAGCCTCCTGAGTAACTGGGATTACAGGCACGCGCCACCACACCTGGCTAACTTTTTTGTATTTTTAGTAGGCAGGGCTTCACCGTGTTTGCCAGGCTGGTCTTGAACTCCTGACCTCAGGTGATCTGCCCGCCTTGGCCTCTCAAAGTGCTAGGATTACTGGCATGAGCCACCGTGTCCAGCCCGAGGCATTTCCTTTTTAAAGCTTAGATTTGTTGAGGCATGGTTTATATACAATAACACTCTTTGAAGTGTACAGTTTTATGTACTGTACAGTACAGTTGTATATATGAGTTTTGACAAACACATACAGTTGTGTAACCATCACCACAATCAAGATACAGAACATTTCCATTACCCCAGAAAGTTCCCTCATGTCTTTTTACAGTCAAACTGTAACTCTGCTCCCGAATCCTGGCAGCCACTTATCTACCAAATATTTTCTGTCCCTATAGGTTTGCCTTTTAAAGAATATCACAGAAATTGAATCATAAAATATGCATTTGTGTGGACATATATTTTCATTTCTTTTGGGTAATACCTAGGAGTGGGACTGCTGGGTTGTGTGGTGTAATGTTTAATTTTACAAGAAATTGCCAAACTGTTTTCCAATGTAGTTGTACCATTTTACATTTCCATCTGCAGGGTACAAGAATTCCATTTGCTTCACATCTTTTCCAGTACTTGGGATTGTCAGGGTTTCCTTTTTAGCAATTCTAATAGGTATGTAATGGTATTTCATTTTATTTTAGTTTGCATTTCCTTAATGCAAGTCAGTCTTTTTTTTTTTTTTTTCTTGAGACAAAGTCTCACTCTGTCCCTAAGGCTGGAGTGTAGTGGTGCGATCTCTGCTCACTGCAACCTCTGCCTCCTGGAACTCACAAGTCTTTTTTTTTTTTTTGAGACAGAATTTCACTCTTGGCACCCAGGCTGGAGTGCAATGGTGCGATCTTGGCTCACTGCAACCTCCACCTTCCGGGTTCAAGCGATTCTCCTGCCTCAGCCTCCCGAGTAGCTGGGATTACAGGCGCCCACCACCATGCCCGGATAATTTTTGTATTTTTAGTAGAGATGGGGTTTCCCCATGTTTGCCAGGCTGGTCTTGAACCCCTGACCTCAAGTGATCCACCTGCCTCGGCCTCCCAAAGTGCTGGGATTACAGGCGTGAGCCACTATGCCCAGCCACATGTCATTCTTTTTTTAATAAACAAAGCTTGTCTGGAGACACAATGATTCAACATTTAGGGACCCTTGTGTGGAAACTAAAGTGGGTCTTTGGTGAAGAATTTACTGGGAACAGTTATATGGTCTGCTGGCTTTACTGGATTGAGATGGTGAGATCTTTCTCTGCCATAGGTCTGCAGAGAACTGCAGTTCTTCCTTCTGGTCAGCAGAGGACAGGAGAGGGCAGAAAATAAGCTGCTCCCGCTTCATTTTTTTTTTTTTGGCTTACCTGTCCCCAGCATCAAGTATTTGCATTTGCGTGCATTATTATATTTATAATTTTGCTCGAAAGTTTGCCTTTTCCTCTGAACCTAGTTAACTGCTGCCTTGTGGGGCTTGATTTCCCAAAATTAACTTTGTGGACTGATTTAATGCCAAACTTAACCAATCTTATAAAATCTTTCCCTGCCAAAGCATAACTAACCTAATCTAAGGACTGAACTACCCAAACTGCGCTACCTCTGTAGAATCCGTGCTAAGTCTACTCTCCAGTGTCACCCCACAGAGCTTGTGTTAGGGGTAACCGTGAGCAGCTGAGCAGCATGAACTCCTGGTCCTCCTCTTCTCTAACTTTGAGAAACCAAGAGACTGAGGAAGGACTTCATGGGGGACAGGCCTCCAGAACCCCCGTGGCTACAGGCCATCCTCCCTAGGACCAGGGCTGGGGCTGTTCAGGCGGGACACTGCACAGATCTCCTGGGGCTGGGGTTGCAAAGTGCCCCCAAAGATGTACTCCAGCTTGAGCCCCGGGCTCCCTTCTGGCAGTTGGAACCGAAAGGTCCTAAGGAGGGTGGCAAACATCAGGAAGAGCTCCATTCGAGCCAGCTGGTCCCCTGGGCACACACAATGCCCTGGAAACAGAGAGAAAAGTCAGAGGTGGCAGCTGTCTCTGTGTCTGTCCCACCATAGCCCCACCCACTACCCAGGATCCAGCTCTGTGCCTAGTACCTGCAGCGAATGGCAGGAAGGCCTCATTGGCCACAAAGTTTCCATCCTTGTCCAAGAAGTGGCCAGGGTTGAACTGTGGAGGGGTCTCCCAGCACTCAGGGTCGTAGAGCACAGAGCCTCTACATAAGGGTAAGATGATGGTGCCCTACAGAGAGATGCTGGTGTGGATCAGGGAGCCTCAGATGGTGCCCAGTACCCAGCCCTGACACTGAGCCACAGTGAGCTTGGAGAATACCCACTGTGCTGGTGGGAGTAGTCCAGGGGCCTCGAGGAGACTCAGCAGCCGGCCCTCAGGCTGCCCTTCCTCCAGGCTTACATCAGTGCAGGAGCCAAGCAGGACACCCTCCTGGCTAAGGACTGCCCAGCTTTGTCCTGAAGACTCCCAGCCATGTCTGGGGACATGAAGCGGTTGCCTCCTACAGAGAAGGCCAGCAGCTGGTGGCATGTCTGGAAGGGGCCAAGGACAGCCCAGGACAACACACACCGGGGCAGTGTTGTGTGCGCGTGGGTGTTAGAGGAAGAGACAGAGCGAGGAGAAACGGAATGGCAAACAGGCAGAGAAAAAGGAACTGAGCAATGGAAAGACAGAGAGGAGACAGAAAGCTTCACTCTTTAGGATTGGGAAGAGGAAAACATGAACCGTAAGCCCAACTCTAACCCTCAACCTAACCCTAACCCTCACGTTCCCCCAAACCCAAACCAAATCTTTCCTCTCACTCTCATCCCAGCCCTCACTCTACTCAAAGGAGAAGTGAGTGATTAGAAAGAGAATCAGACCAAGCAGATGGGAGCAGGGTGACATCTGCTCTTTACCATGTGGGCCCTGGGCTGACTGGAAACAACATAAGGAAGTCAAAGTGGAGCCAGGATGGGGTCGGTTATGGTCCCCCACCCCAGGACACTCAGCTCTGGGATTCTGGGGAAGGCCTCATACCCCAGGGCTCATTTACCAAATACCACAAAATTAAACCAGCTACCCCTGTAGAGACCAGAGGGCTGACTACAGAATTCTTGATTTTGACCAAAAAAAGGCTTGAAATTAAAAAAAAAAAAGCTCAGTGAATTTAAAGCCTGCATTCCAAACAGAAGCCAATAAAGAATGCAGAAATTGAGCAGATGTTGGCCGGTCACGGTGGCTCACGCCTGTAATCCCAGCACTTTGGGAGGCTGAGAAGGGTGGAACACTCAAGATCAGGAGTTGGAGACTAGCCTGGCCAATATGGTGAAACCCCATCTCTACTAAAGTTACAAAAATTAGCCAGGCATGGTGGTGCATGCCTGTAATCCCAGCTACTCAAGAGCCTGAGGCAGGAGAATCACTTGCTTGAACCCAAGAGGCAGAGGTTGCAGTGAGCCGAGATGACGCCACTGCACTCCAGCCTGGGCGACAGAGCAAGACTCTGTCTCGAAAACAACAACAGCAACAACAACAACAACCCCCCCAAAAAAAAACCAGAATGCAGAAATTGTTTTCAGGGAGAATTGTTTTTTGCTGCTGTTGCAGTACGGTGGGCTTAGGCAAGGTGCCTCGTCCTAGCCACGTGTACCAGTAGGGCACCCAGACTTGCTCACCCTGTGGCTTTAAGCAGAGGTGCTAGAGAGGCCTGTGTGCTTGCTGCTGCCTGAGTGAGCTATAGATTTCCCAATTCTAGTCATGGGAATTCCCCCATTTTCCCTGCCCGGGATTAAATAACCCTCTGCATTGCAGCAGTTTTTACTAATCACCTTCAGAAGAGGAGGCTCCTAGCAAGATGCTCTTTTCCCTCCAGAATTATTTGTGTCCTTTTCTGGGTGATGTTCCGGCCTCCTCGCAAAGTGACTGACTGATCTTAGCTCATGGACCAGGTTCAGAGCACAGCCTCTCCAGTATGCAAAAAGGATAGTCCCCCCCACCACCACCAACCACCCTCCACTTCCCCAGACTGTAAAACCATCTGCCTGCTGGGTACCTCCCGGGGTCTCTGTGCCAGCTTCTGCCCAGTAAATGGCAGTTTGGAATTCACAATCAAATAGAATGTCTGAGAAGAGAGACAGGCTGGAAGTGCAACCATCGTATCAGGGACTGTTGCTGTTGTCACGATCACTCAACTGATGAAATGGTTAGGAACAGTTTAAGAATATCTGTAACATTTAATGATCTCCTGTCAGGTTTTGATTCCACTTTCAGCAGACATCTCTCGCCCAAGCTGTAAAAGCTCAATATTGATTTCAGCTCATTAATGGGCCCCTGGAGCCTTTATCACAGAACAACTCCTAGAATCAAATTGGCAGGAATGAGCTCTTAATAAGGAAATTTCTAATCCCAAATGGCATAACACAGAGCGGAACCCTGGCCCCCTCTTTTTAACTTGACTTAAGTTGGCACAGCTTCTAGACAACCTGGGCCTGGTCCTCTTGCCAGGCCAGCAGCAGGATGACTTGATGCCCTGGTCCTATCCACGTTCCCAGAGACCCTTGACAAACCTGTAAACTTGCTGGCCAATTTCTGCTGAGGACAGAGTGACAATGCAAAACACCTCCATTTAGCACATTGTTTCACTTTCCTAGAGTGGCATTTTCGTAGAAATACAGTAGGGCGTATGGTAGGAAAAGAAAACACTTTAGAGTCAGAGCGACATGCGTTTGAAACTCAGCTAAGTAAGTCACTTACTAGTTGTGTTTGGGCAGTTTCTTGAGCTCTCTACGGTGAAGTTTCTCTATCTATGGAAAAGAAACCGCAACAAAGCATCCGAAGGATAGGGCTGCTGTGAAGAAAAAAATGTGTGGAGGAGGGAACCCCAAGTCTGGGCAAATTAATAATAAGTTAATAATGGGGCCAGGCACAGTGGCTCATGCCTGTATTCCCAGCACTTTGGAAGGTGGAGGCAGGCGGATTACTTGAGGTCAGGAGTTCAAGACAAGCCTGGCCAACCTGGCGAAACCCCGTCTTTACTAAAAATAAATAAAAAATGATAACAAAAATTAGCCGGGTGGGGTGGCATGTGCCTGTAATACCAGCTACTTGGGAGGATAAGGTGGGAGAATTGCTTGAGCCCTGGAGGTGGAGGCTGCAGTGAGCTGAGATCACACCACTGTACTCCCGGGCAGTACTCAGGGCAGAGTCAAAGCTTTCTGAGGAACGTCTCAGGGCTCCCGCCACCATCTCTATGTACAGAGGCATCACCCTGCACCAGGGCACCAAGACGGGCCACTCTGTTTCTTTTTCATTAAAATGGCAACCTCACCACCTACACATGTTGCTATGTTACCCCAATGAGCCTTGACTCCCAGGATATACACATTTGTGTAATCCCCTCCCCTTGAGGATAGGATGGATTTAGTAACTCACTTCTAACAAATAGAAAATGGGCCAGATGCAGTGGCTCACGCCTGGAATCCTAGCACTCTGGAAGGTCAAGGTGGGAGGATCACTTGAGCCCAGGAATTTGAGAAGAACCTAGGAAACATGGTGAAACCCCATCTCTACCAAGAATTTAAAAATTAGCCCATTGTGGTGGCATGTGTCTGTAGTTCCAGCTACTCAGGAGGCTGAGGTGGAAGGATCACCCAAGCCTGGGAGGTCGAGGCTGCAGTGAGCCATTATTGTGTCACTTCACTCCAACCCAGGCAACAGAGGGAGACAGTGTCTCAAACAACAACAACAGCAACAAACCCAATCAATAGATTATGGCAAAAGCGGCCGGGCGCGGTGGCTCACACCC